CTCTGGAGGTGAGGGGGCAAGCTCAGGGTGTGCTTAGGGCAGGGTCATGTTCAGAGTGGCTGGGCAAGCTGCTGGGTATGTAGGACCCAGAGGTGGCTTTGGGGTGTTCCTGGCTAATGGCCAATGTGTGCAAAAGCAAATGTTACCCCATGAGCGCATGAGTGCACTGAGCTGCTGCAGCCCCCAGTCTCAGGGTTGGTGCTCCCAGGACTTCATCAACAGTTGAAAGCACGGGTTCAGTTTGAATCACCACCCTTGGAAAGATGTGATGAGATGTGTGGAGCAACTGGCACTGGCTCCAGAGGGGAGCAGCCAGAGTGGTGGGGCACAAGGAGGAAAGGCTGAAGGAAGGGAGGCTGCAGCAAATGTGAATTCCCCAGAACAGCTTCTCAGAAGCTTTAAGGAGACTTTAGGAGATACATGAGTGTCACAGCATCCAACAGCCTCCACCTCCTGCAGCATCCCTCCACCACATCCCTCCATCCCAGCACAACCACATGGAGCCCATCACCCCAGCTCTGGGCAGCACATTCCAGCAGGGACCTCGTGCCCATTCCCCAGTTCCCTGCCCTGCAGGGCTCAGTCAGCTACTGATAGTTCCATTGATATCATTAATCTTGGGATCTCACAAGGATGCAGCATTGTGCTGAGCCCCATTGGGTGCTGTGGGAGATGGAACCACCACCAGCACCTGCTCTGTGATAGGTGTGCACAGGGAAGGGGAACAGACTGGGGTGTCCATGGCCAGCACAGGGGCTGGCTCCAGGCACATGTCCCTGACCCAGAGCACCCACAGCTGAGATGCGGCACAAAGACAGTGCCAGTCAGGGGCAATTGGGGCATGTTTAATAATGGTGCACACTGGGAAAGACAGGAAGGAGGAGGAAGGGGCTGGTGTGCTATTTGCTAGCTGGGACGGCAGGCGTGGGCATCCCGAAGGCAGCTTTAAATGCCCCCAACTCCACCAGTCTTGCTGGAATCGGGCTGGAAGAGAAGGATGGAGCTGGTCCTTGCTGGGACCAGTCACAGGAAAAGCCAGGGTGGGTCTGGAACTGGAACAGGGGGCAGGAGTGAGCGATGGAGCTCACCCAGAGACATGGGACCTGCACAGAGCACTGCCTGCACCTCACACAGCCAGAGCTGGAGTGACCTCCTGGTGCAGAAATTGAATGGTGAGGAAATGAGAGACTCTTCTGGCTCTGAGTCAGGGTGTTCCCCTTTCAGGAGGCACAGGGAAGATGTTAGCAATGGAGGTGATCTCATTTCACAAACACCAGCATCTCAGTGACTGGCAGTAATGGCTGGCCTTGAACCCTGCAGAGCCTCCACGCCAGCCTGGCAACTTGCTTCCTGGTCTCAAAGAGGCATTTCAAGGGTCACAGACAAAAGCAGATCAAACAGGGGTGTGTGTGTACTCTACCACTTCTCCATAGGGGATTTGTCTACCTGCAGTCAGAAGAATGAGGCGCTGGCACAGGGTTCCCAGAGAAGCTGTGGCTGACCCATCCCTGGCAGTGTTCAAGGCCAGGTTGGACACAGGGGCTTGGAGCAACCTCCTCTAGTGGAAGGTGTCCCTGCCCATGGCAGGGGGTTGGAATTGGATGAGCTTTCAGGTCCCTTCAACCCAAACCACTCTGTTGTGTAGGTCCCTTTTCAGTTATGAGCAAATAACACATTTGGCTCTCACCAGACCATGTCCCTTGAAGGCAAACAGGGCTGGGGCACATCAGCACTGAGGACCTGGGAGAGCCATTGGAGAGTGTGTGCTCCTGTGGGCCAGCCCATCCCGCAGCTCTGCCCGAGCCCTGCCAGGCCTTTGGCATTCAGACAGGCTGTTTGCTCAAGGACAGTGCTGGTGAAACTGGTTCTACTGCTTTTGCCTCTCCAAAGGAAGCTGGGTGCTCAGGACCCCAGGAGGTGGCTGAAGGGCTCCACCATGGGGCATGTCTCCCAGCCACACTCGTGGCTGTGAGGTCAATGGCTGCTGTGCAGGGAACAGGCACATCTGCCCATGCGAACACGAACTGGTGCACCCAGGCACTGCCTTCACAGCAAGCAAACACCCCAGGTGTGGATGCCCATGTTCTGCTCATCGACGTCAACAAGCACCTTCCCCAGCTTGCCCCCCATCTCCAGCTCTCAGGGGCTTTGCCCATCTCAGCAGCAGGGCCGAGTCTGGTCCTGCCATCCTTTTGAGGAGCGCTCAAGGCCAGGTTGGACACAGGGGCTTGGGGCAACGTGCTCTAGTGGAAGGTGTCCCTGCATGTGGCAGGGGGTTGGAACTGGATGAGTTTTAAGGTCCCTTCCAACCCAAACCATCCCATCATTCCATTATTCTATGAAGATGCGTGGCTGAGGGCCCCCGCTAGCTCCAGAGCACTGGGGCTGCTCCAAGGCCCCCTTGGAGTAAACACAGCTCCTCAAGGGACTGGATCCCTGAGGAAGGGCCACAGACTGTGGGTGGGACCATGGGGCAATGTGTCCCTTGATGGCACATGTCCCCACCTGCCTGAGGGTGTTGTCCCACTCACCACACTTGTGAGGGGTCCATTGCTCTCAGGAGCTGTGGTGGTGGACCTGGAAGCATTGCAAAGCTTGCTTTGGGCGCCTGGCCTCAGCTGCACCCTGGCCCCTCCTGGGACAAGCCCCAGGCTGGATTCTGACCATTCCATCCATCCCTTCTTTTGGCAGCCCAGGAGAGCCTGCCATGCACCATGGCATGGTGTCAGCTGAGTCCCAGCCAGGTCTGTCCTTCCCTGCCCTTGTGCTCACATGGACCAGGGCTGTTCCTGGCAGGACTTGTCCCATGCTGGTGGCAAGCGGGGTTGCCAAAGGGCTGAGCCTGGCAAAGAGACCCAAACCCCTATGAACAGGAACAGAAGCAGTAGGTCAGGCAGTCCCGCTGCCTGGGTGCTTTTGCAGATGGAGTCATAGCTCCCTCCCAGCTGGGAAATCATTGCCTGTCCTTCTGCCCAGAGGCAGTTAAGATGTTATCATGTAACCTCTGGAACTATTTCTTTACTACAGAAGGATCAGGACAAGTAAACCAGAGTTGCTCAGCCTGGGTTTGGAGGCAGGAGCTGGAGGGTTTGATCGGATCTGTGTGCACACAGTCACCACACAGTGCCAACTGCCCCGGGGGGACCGGGGCCGGTGAGTGCCTCTGTCCTGCATGGGGATGAGAACTCCTGGCTCAGTACATCTCTGGACCAGCCCCTGTGCAGCCAGAGGGGGATTGACCGACCTGGGAAGGCAGCAGACACTCATTCACCCCCTTCCCATGAAGCCACGTGAGTCCAAAGGTTGTGTGGAGGTGGGAATGCAGGAGCAGTGGCATCTCTGGGCTCCAGGCACCCACCCCAGCAGCAGGGTATGGCACAAGCACACAGCTTGGTGCAAGCTGCAAATAGATGGGACCTGAGACAGCACCCAGGGACTGCTGCCCCCCGAATTCACAGCGTGGTGATTTATGTGCACACAGAAGGGCCTCGGAAATCATCATCCCACTGGCCACAGGGAAAGGTGCTCCGGGAAGGTCACACACATTTCCCTCTGGCACAGCTGCACTTGACTCAGCTGAGATAAGGCAGCTGGGAACAATCCTTCCATCGAGATCGCCCTTGTGATAGCCCTGGCATGGAGCTCAATCAGCAGCTTCCCTGTGTCCACCAGTGCTTCCCAGCCCAGGCAAGGTGCCGGGGCTCTGGCTGGACTGTGATCCCCAGCCTGCACCATGAGCCTCCAGTGCATGCCCGGAACAGTGTGAGGCTGCAGGCAGAGCTGGGGGCTGCGGGGACCTGAGTCCTCCCCATCCCTCGGCTCTCCTCAGTGTCCCCATGTCTGCAGAGACCCCCAGCCCAGAAGCAGCCTGGACCCATGTCACAGGGGGAAGGGGTGAGCACAGTCCCAGCTGGGCCATGACAGTGTCCTGGCCTCCCCTGGCAAAGCTCAGCTAGTGTTGCTGATAGCCCTGGCAGGGGCATCCTCCTTCTCTGATGTGATTTTCCTTCTTATTTCCTTCTAATTCCTTTGTAATAAAACTTACTATCAAGGCACCCACTACTCTGTGTGTGCTTTCAGGGCACTGGATACTGGAAATATCACCTCCTGTAGACCTTGTAGAGACCGAAATGGAAATATTAAGACTGGAGAGCAAGAGAAAACAGAAATGTGTGTGGAAAGGCACAGGGAAGTAGGGAGACAAGGGTTAACAGGAGAGGTGTGTACTAATTGCTGCAGGGCTTCTATGTGTGATTTCATTCAAATGAGGAGGAGGAACTAATTGGTTGAAGATAAGGTGTCAGGAAGATGCCAAACTGAGCTGTAAATACACCTGTGAGACAAACAAGAGAACTCCTATTCAGGAGTTTTGACTAAGGCTGATGAGGTCTGGGATAAAATAATGGGGAAGAGATTTTCCAGCAGTATCCACTTCCAAAGGATATAAAGACAAGCCCAGGGTAGGTTTGCTGTTGGTAGTGGAGGAGCCCAGAGCTACAGCAAAGACTCAAAGCCAACTCTGAGGGATCCAACCTGGCTGGGTGCTCCTGGAGCAGGGGTCTGACAGTGCTGCAGGTGAGCTGACCATAGTACACCTTGTAAAATAAAATTACCTCCCTTTCTACAACACCTCACACTGAGGAGTTTGCTGTTTCCTGTGCTCCCCTCTGTCTGGGGCAGTGCTTCCTTCCCTCCTCCTGGAACTCATCCTTCCCGGTGGTGGTGAGCTGAGCAGGAGTGGGTACAGGACCTGGGGCGCTGTGGGATCCTATCACAGCTGTGCCAGGCAACCACCCCCCTCTCCTCCATTCCCTCTAGTTTATCCTAGTTTTGCTTTTCCCAGGGGAAGGTATGATCATCAACCAGGATTTCCGAGTTGCACAGCTTGAGATAGGCTCAGCCTCGGTCTCCTTGCAGCTCCCTCTGGCTGGTGGTGTTCCCAGCTGGCCGTGTCCAACCACCTTTCTCCTGTGTTTGGGTTTGCAGGAGCCCTCACCACAATGTTCGCTAATAAGAAGCACTTGATCAGTGCCATCATTGGGGCACTGGTCGCACTCTCCATCATTGCCCTTGTTCTCAGCCTGGTGAACATTGAAGATGTCACCCTGCCACCCACTGTCAAGGTGAGCCCTTCTTTTGAAGGTCCCCGAGCATCATTGCAGAGACCAGTCCCCTTGGGCAGGTGCTCAGAGACACCACCTTGTCTACCTTATCTTTGGTTTGGAGTTGAAGGGGGGTTTGTAGTAGCCAGGTGGGTGTTTTCTTCCCATTTCAAGATACAAACAGAGTAAATACAGCCTGGGCACCTCCAAGTCAGAGTGGGAAGCCTGCTCTGGAACCGGCCAGCATGCTATGCACTGGACATGTTTTGAGGGCATTACCTTGGGGCAGATGTGCAAGGCAAAACTCTGCCCTGCTCCGTCTGCCCTCGCATGGCACAACACCTCCTGATGGCCCTTGTACCTGCCAGCTCCCACCAGCCTGCCCTAACCCACAGCAAAAGCATCCCATGCAGCTTGGTATCATACCCTGGTTGCTGGAAGGGGCTTGGTTTTAGGGTGATGTGGAGGGGTTCATGGGGGAGAGGTGTGCAGTTGGGTGCTCCTGGCCTGGAGCTGGTGTCGTGTTGCCTGTCCCTGCCCAGGCTGGGTGCAGCTGTATGAGTAGCAGAGAGCACTGGGGATGGGAGAGTTGCTGGCTCCGAGGTGGGGCCAGTACAGACACAAAGGGTTTGTAACCAAGAAAGAAAATAAAAAAGGCATGAGGAAACAACTCAGAAATGTCAGTGTGAGCTCATGGTGCTGCACAGGCCTCAGGAGCGGGAATGAAAAAGTCCCTTCATTGCTGTGAGAAATGCCTGTTCTGAGGCCAGGCTCTGTCACAGCTTGGCTCTGCCATGCTGCAGATAGCTGAGCCTTAGAGAGATGGGTTTGGGGCATCTTCTGGCCCCACGACCCTGGCAGGGTCATGGTGGAGCTGGGGACAGGCTGCTGCTCCTCCCGTTGGTGTGATGTCTTGGTTTTCCCTTCCAGTATGGGATAGTGTTTGATGCAGGCTCATCCCACACCTCTCTGTTTGTCTATGAGTGGGATTCGGACAAGGAGAATGACACCGGTGTGATCAGCCAGACCTTGTCCTGTGATGTCCACGGTCAGTACTCCCCTACTATGGGCTCGGCACTGCCCTGCGCCTTGGTGTGGTGGGTGGGATGACCTGGACCTTCCTCTTGCTGGCCTGCCCATGCTGGGCAGCTCTGTCTGTCAGGCTGGCACAGGGAGGAGCCCTGGCTGCAGGCAGGGTGGTCTCTGACTCCCCACTGGCTTCATGTAGTTTGAGGACCCTCAGGACCATGTAGTGCCACACACTTGTTGGGACTGATGGACCTTGATGGTGTTCTGTGTTTTATGCCCATACCTTGGACTGCCTGAGCTGCTGTTCTGGCTGGGGAAGGTGCCACCTCTAGAGCTGGGGACACTGCTGAAAGCATGGGAGAGGTGCGGAAGCCATAGGAGGGAAATGAGTCAGTCATGTCCTGGGGGACCAGGAGACCCTAAAGAAGTACCCTTTGTTGCTGAGAGGTGACAGACCTTACTGCCCTGTTCCCTCTTGCTCCCACATCCCTGTTCACAGCCATTCCCATCAGCCTGTCCCAGCCTGAGTCTCTTCCAGGACAAGGTATATCAAGCTATGCCAGTGATCCCCTGAAAGCTGGTGATTCCATAAGGGAGTGTCTGGATAAAGCCCTGAAGGTTGTTACTGCTGAAAACCAGAGTGATGAAC